ATTTATATCCCCCTTTTTGGTTTAGTTTTGTCAAAGGTGATTATTCCGTTGCCATTTAAATAGTGTAGATGCATGAATTCCGCAAAACAATCCAATATAATCCAGTAGTCCATAATAGTAGTGGGTTATCCATTGGATTGGCAGTGTTGCTGAGCTGTAGAAGGCTTAAGCTAGTTTCTTTCATAAAATGAACTGATTTTTGTCTTTTCCGTTTGTGAAAGAATGAGGAAAGCTTGAATGTTTTTGAATGTTTATTACTTTCACTGGTCATAATATTAGTCCCCAAAACCTTGGAGTGAAATATTACAACATGGACTCTAGAAATGATACTGTGGAGGTAATGCTACTATGGAGGTTCTTAAATTTTCTCTGATCCATATTATTCTAAGATTTCATAGATTTACAGTTATTAATTTCTATGAAATTACTTATATTTTTATATGAAATTTTTTCTATAAAGGTGTACTAATATACAAATTTCTTTAATATTATACAGGCTTCAAATATTTCACTTTCTCATTGATCAACTGTATTTTTTTTTTTGATCAACTGTATTAAGAGTTGTCACATTTTGTTAACAGAATAACAGTTAATTTTGTTAAATTTTCTATCTGAAATTCTTACATATTCCTTTCAGACAGTATCTTATCATTTATTTTTCATTTTCAATTTGCACTACTTTTTGTAGCATATGATTAAAGTTTTAAAAGTAAAATTAAAGTGTTTAAAAATTTAAGTACAGAGCAGCACAAAAGCATATGTAATATAAAATGGATATTTGTTTCGGTATAGTTTGTGCTTCAACTCAGAAGATATTCAATAACAGATGGTTTATAATTTGTGCTTATAAGGTGCTATATACTATATATGATACAGAATTATACATATTGGAAGCGTGTATTCACTGATTAGAGGGTGCCTTGTTCTCTATGAGAGAATATATAAGAGTTTTAGAAAAGTTTGCTATTACCATATTTTTATGGTGAATATATATTCACATAATCACATGAATCAGTACATAATTTGCCTTGATGTATTTCAGCCAACCTTCAATGGGAAGGTGATTCCATTATGTCATCATTTATAAGAACGTACTAAGAACGTTATAAGAACACGTTTATAAGAACATGTTCCATAGTGGTTCATATAATATACAATAGAGCAGTCTAGGAAATTGGATAGTAAAATGGTTGGAATTGGTTTGTGCTGTGGTATAATCATGTTGCACAGCAAAACCATCTTCCTTTCTCTAATAAAGCTAAATCACTACGGCCATCTGCTTTGTGTGAAGAATAGTGTCAGCCACTAGAAATTGAATATACCTGACTCTTGTCTTGACTATAATCTTGTTGAGTTTCCAAAGTTTGTAAAGAAAAGACATAGATTCTTAAGAATGGATGAAAAGGAAAATGAATTAGAGTATATTTCAAAGGGGAAAATGTGTTTTCCAGGCATGGCTTTGCTATGAGGCAGTAACACTCAGTATGGCAAATAATTTAAGAAGTGCAGGAAGAAATTTACTATCAGCATCCTCTACAAGATTTTCTGTAATTTCCTGGGGAGATGGACTGAATGCAAAATAGAGTGAGAGTGTGTCACACGACATGCTCTTACTTGAGTCATTGGCAATCTCATTCTCTTGGCA